GGGGCATCTCTCCCCACGGAGCTGACCAGGGCAGCTCTCCTCTCGAAGCCAGGCTGTTCTCCCCACGGAGCTGACCAGGGCAGCTCTCTCCACGGAGCCAGGCTGCTCTCCTCCTGGAGCTGAGCGGGGCAGCTCTCCCATGGAGCTTATCGGGCTGCTCTCCCCAGAGAGCCAGGCTGCTCTCCCCACGGAGCTGAGCAGGGCAGTTCTCCCCGTAAAGTGAAGTGGGGCAGCTCTCCCCACAGAGCCAGGCTGCTCTCCCCACAGAGCTGAGTGGGGCAGCTCTCCTCGCAGCGTGGGGCAGCTCTCCCCAAGGAGGGTCTACACTCCCTACCAAGCACTGGGTTCACCACACATCAGAATTGCCTCACGGTCATGAATTTGTATGTTTGTTTGAAAGTACTTGGGTGACTTGCCAGCTGCTTCTGAATATGACTGCATTATGTTTAAGTAAACTGAACAAAAAGAGGTAGGTGATTCATGTGTATTTTAAGCATTGAAAAATGCCTATTTGGATATCCTGTAACTACCCAGATTCTCCCAGGCTGGGGATCAGTCAGACTCTTAAGGGTTTGGCTTGGCTGTCTGAGTTGTTCCTAATCACTTTTGTCATTGGCTGGAAGGGTGGTACAGAAGCAATACACAGCCCTGCCAGCTAAAACAGTACTTTTGTCAATGTTATCCTTCTCAGTTCACCTTTTCCTTCAGTGGAGGTTGGTCGTGAGACTGAGGCTTTGTGTGTTTGATGTTGTAGGAGGCAGTGACGTTCAAGGACGTGGCCGTGGTCTTCACAGAGGAAGAGCTGGGGCTGCTGGACTCTGCCCAGAGGACCCTGTACCGAGAAGTGATGGTGGAGAACTTCAAGAACCTGGTCTCTGTGGGTGAGAATAGACACCCTGTTAACTGAGCCTCAGCCCCTGTGATTATCTCTGGTCTCAGTTGGTTAAGGCTTTGGGCCTTTGCTATAGTTCGCTTTCCTTGAAGACAAAAGTTTCACAGTCACTGAGGTGACAGAGATAGGTTTTTCTAGTCTCTTGGTCATGGAAAATGCAGACCTTTTAAATCACTGGTTCTCAGCCAGGACTGACTTTTGTTCTGCAGGAAATCTCTGGCAATGTCTAGTACCGTTTTTGGTCATCTCAACTCAGGGAGGAAGTTGGGTCCTCAATTCACACCTCATAGATAGAATGAGCAAAGATACTATAAAGCACAGGACAGCTGGCATACAATAGAAACATCTAGAATGTCAGTAGTGTTGAAGTGGAGAACCCCATTAAATGGATATGCATTGATGGGTCAAGGAGTCAGTTCAGACCACAAGATAAAGATAAACATTCCAGTCGCAAAGTGGGCACAGAATATGAACAGACACTTCACCAAAGAAGACATTTAGATGGTGAACAAACACATGAAGAAATGTTCAAAATCCCTAGCTTTAAGAGAGATGCAAAGAAAACAGCTATGAGATATCATCTGACCCCAGGAAGAATAGCAGAATTTAACAGAGCAGCAACAAGAAACTGGGACCCTTATTCACTGTTGGTGGGAGTATAAAATGGTGCTACTACTCTGGAAGGCTGTATGGCGCTTTCTCAAAAAGTAGTGAATAGAAATACCATTTGACCCAGCACTTCCACTGCTGGGAATATACACCAAAGAAACCATAACTGCCACCCAAGTAGATATATGCACACCCATGTTTATTGTTGTGTTGTTCATGATAGCAAAGAGATGGAAACAACCCAAGTGCCCATCAGCAAAAGAAGGATAGAGAAACTATGGTATATTCACACAGTGGAATACTATGCAGCATTGAAAAACAAGGAACTCATGAAATATTATACAAAATGGGTGACCCTGGAGGACATTATGCTGAGTGAAATATGTCATTCACAAAAGGACAAACACTGCATAATGCCACTAATTACACACACACACTGCACGCGCGCGCACACACACACACACTTAACGTACCATCAGGTGAAATCCATGTATATCCTGAATTTGTGTTTCTTATGAAAGGGATTTGCAATGAATAAATCATTGAATGTGCAGAATTCTATCATTCTATCTGCAGCCTCATTTCTGTCACCAAATCCATGTTTTCTAGCTACTGATCCTTCTTCCCTGTTCCCAACTTTTTGCATTCCAGTCACCCATTATTATCAATGCTTCTTTTTTTTTTTTATTATCAATGCTTCTTGATTGCATGTTTGATCAATTTCTGACTGCAAAGGTTCGTAGAAATCTTCCATTTCCTCCTCTTTAGCTCTAGTTGTTGGTGCATATATTTGAATGATAGTGGTATTCACTGGACTTCCTTGTATGTGTATGGATATTAATTATCCTGTCACTCATCATATTGTATTTCATGATGGATTCTAGAAATGACTTTCCAAACCCATTTTCTCACCTTTTTTTAAAAAATTTAAATAGCATTCAGTTTATTACAAATATTTAGTATTGGCTTCCCATATTTCCCCCCCTTTTGTTTTTATCATAATTATGTTATCTTCTCAATGAACATCCCATTTTCTCACCTTTTCATCCCCAGCATAGTAGATCATCTGATCATCTGATTCAAAATGTCCCATACCAAGCCATTTAACTTGGCCAGTACCTGTTATGTCAATATTTATTTCTTCTTTTTTTTAAAAAAAAGATTTTTTGTTTTGGGGTTTTGTTTTTTTTTTGGAAAGGAAATCATCATAGTTATATAGGTAGCTTTCTATATGGAACCTACTGTACTTTTAAAAAAATATTTTTTTATTATTAATTTTAATATAAATTTACAGAGACCTTGGATTTCCATTCATTCATTGTTGCACATTTCTCCCTGTGTCCCCACCTTGGGTTTGTTTTTTAATTTCTTAAAAATTGTGTGTGTGCGTGTGTACCGTCAATTCAGATCTGACTGGTACTGGAGGGGATTGCCCCTCTTTGTCCAGGAGAGCATCTGGTGGATTCAAACCACTTAACTCTGGGATTACAGTGCAGTTTCTTGCCACTAGGCCACCAGGGCTCCCCATTTATTTCTTAACAACGTCAGTTTTCCTACATTCATGCTTCTCACGTTCCACGTTCCAAATCACTAGTGTCAGCTTACAGCTGTTCCTCCTTTATGTTTCCATATCTGAAATCTCCGTCTCAGTTGCCGTGTCTGCTAGTCAGAGTGTGCTTTATTGTACACAGGGTTTTCAAAGGCTTGTTAATTCGGAAGTGGATGGCCAATCTTTCTTCCTAGACTGTCTTAATTTGTGTTTTGTTTTTTGGTGTGTGGTGTTTTGTTTTGTTTTGTTTTTTTAATAATAATATCTGACAGACAAGCATTTTACAGAAAAGAGCAGATGAAAGACATTTACCCAATTAGAAAAATGACTGATAGATTCAATGTTGCTACTCATCCTTTGGAGGGGAGGGGTGAGCAGGGAGAAAAGTGCAACAATGAATGAATGGAAATCCAAAATCTCTGTAAATTTTCATTAAAATGAAAAAAAAAATAAATAAAAGAAAACAAAGATTCACACCACTAGGCCTATTGGCAGCATCAGTGTGGATGGTGAAGAGATTGAGATAGTTAACAGTTTTAGTTTGCTTGGCTCCACAGACAACACTCTTCGTACCAGCAGCCAGGAAATCAAGAGACGAATTGTGTTGGGAAAGTCAGCTGTGAGGGACCTCTCAAGAGTACTGAAGAGCAATGATGTCAGGCTGGAGGCTAAGGTGTGCCTGATCCAGGCTATAGTCTTTTTCTGCATCTCTATTTCTGGAATCTTGTCATGAAAATAATACTTAATCATACAGTCCTTTTAAACAGTTCTCTTCATCATCTGTTTCAGTGCATCACACGTTATTTATCCCCTCTTTTCTTTTGTTCTCCCCAACCCCGAGGTCAGTCCCTTTTTACAACAGTGTCACTATGCAGTATTTGTCCTTTTGTGACTGAGATATTTCACTCAGCATAATGTCCTCTAGGGTCTCCCATTTTGTATAATTCATTGTTTCCTTGTTTTTTAATGCTGCATAGTATTCCATTGTGTGAATATACCACAGCTTCTCTATCCATTCATTTGTTGATGGCACTTGGGTTGTTTCTAACTATTTGCTATTGTGAATGAAGCAGCAGTAAACATGGGTGTGCATATATCTGCTTGGGTGGAAGTTCTGGTTTCTTTCAGGTATATTCCCAATAGTGGAATTGCTGGGTCAAATGGTATTTCTGTTTCCAACTTTTTGAAAAAGCACCGTACTGCCTTGCATAGTTGTTGCACAATTTTACACTCCCACCAGTAGTGAATAAGGGTTCCAGTTTCTCCACAATCTTGCCAACATTTGTTGTTTGGGGCTCTGTTAAATTTTACTGTTTTTTTCTGGGTTGAGATGATATCTCAAGGAGCTTGGGATTGTGAACATTTCTTCATGTGTTAGTTCACCATCTGAATGTCTTCTTTGGTGAAGTGTAGAACTCATTTTATCTCTCAGTGTATTAAACTGAACTGCTAAACAAAAGGTTGGTGTTTTGGATCCACCACCTGCTCCATGTCAGAAGGATGTGGTATACTGCTTCCATGAAGATTTACAGGTTTGGGGACCCTGTGGGGTTGTTCTGATCTGCCGTACAGTATCACTGTGAGTTGCAGTTGATGATGGCAGTGGGTCTTAGGCTTATGAGTGAACTTGATTTGGTTGTTATGTACCATTGAGTCAAAACCAGCTCAGCAGCTGACGGACCAGCAGGTTTTCAGAGGCTGTAAGTCACACAGGTGATCACACAGGCTTCCTGTGCACATGCTTCTCCAGGGAGCTGCTGATGAATTCATATCATGTGCCTTTGGGTTGGCAGCACAGCTCCTTACTGCTAAGAGCTCCCTGAACTAGATTTCAATGACCAAATCTATTTCATATTATGATTCATGATATAACACGTCTTGAAATGTGGCTGTAGAAATTGTGGGGGTTTACACCTTTTAAATAAAAATATTTTTAGTTGTAGGGGAGCTCTGGTGGCCTAGTGGCAAGGAGCTGCAACTACAATCCCAGAGGCGCACGGTTTGAATCCACCAGATGCTCTGCTGGGGAAGGAGGGACAATCTCCTCCTGTATCAGTCAGATCTGATTTGATGGTACACACACACACACACACACACACACACACACACACACACACAAAT